GGAATGTTCTAGCACTTTGTTGGTTGCAGAGGTTGCTCTTTGCCTAGAAACATGATCAGTTAATGTCCCCACTAATGCAAAATCATCAATCCTAGAAGCCTTTGCCTTATTTTCTATCTGCAACTAACTGTATGAGGAAGTGGCTGAAAAAAAAGTACATTTCTTGCATGGGATTAGACCACTCCTTGTGGTTTAGTGGTTTTGTCATTTTCCCCAACGTAAGTTTTTCAGTCATCTCTGTATGCTCCCTCACTTGAAAGGCAGACATAGAAAAGGTCTGATACTGGGGCTTCCCAGTAGCACAGCAGCATAATACCAAAGGAAGTAATTTTCAAACAGCCTATTTCAAAGTTTTTTTTTTGATTTATACTAAACACACAATAAACTCAAACGCTTGAACAAACTGAGAAGAAAGCTCTGAAATCAAAGATTTACAGAATTGCCAACCATGGGGGTTCACAAGGCAGGTTCTGAAGCAACCATGAAATTAGCTTAGGAACATAAAAATCATCTGCCTCTGTTTCTTTTTTTCCTCAAGCAGCCTGTACTGGAAATCTAGTACTGGACAGAGGCGAGGGTGTGAATTTGTGGTGCAGCAGCTGCTCTGGAACTGCTTCCACAAGGGACAATTGCTCCCTGGAAGTGAAAAGGTGTCAAGAGCTGCGGCTTGCTTGATGCACATGCACATCTCCATGCACCATAGGGTAATCATGGACTACAATTTCCCACCTAGAGTTAAATTTCTCCTCCAGTTCTGGTTATCTTGAACCTCTCATCTGGGCTCTCACAGTCAATGTCAACAGCTTGGGCAACTCTGGATGTTGCAGCTCTACATCCCTACCCTACGCAGCTTCCAAGCTCACATGGTATTTAGTCCACCTGCAAAACAGCACAGCAACAGCCACTCTGTTGGCTGTGTGAAGGCCTAAAGTAAGAGTCAACAGTTGCATAGGGGACATGATTTGCACAATTTCTTACACAGTGGTGGAGAAAGCACATGCCCCCTACACCACCCTTCTATCATCCTAAAACAGAGGGACAGTGTTAGCAAAACAAAAACACTGGCAATAATGCTAATAAAGTCTCAACCAGATAGAAGGTGGAGAGGATGAGACTTTTCAGCCCATTCTTAGGGTGGCTGAGCAAACAGCAACAGCAGAAAGATTCAAAGCACAGGTAAGGAAAAGACTTGATATGCGAATGAGGCTTCCCAGCTCCAAACATGGGAAAAGACTGCAGATGCCCTGCTTTCAGGTAAGGACTGCAGAAGTGATGCACCCTGAGCTGCCACGCTATTCCCTGTACTGTGGTCCCCCTCCAGGATTGGCCAGGGTATCAGCACTTCTAACACCTGCTCCAAACTGCTGTCCCTTGCCCTTGCTGGGCTTCACCTCTGCTTCTGCTCCTTCTCTTCCAGCAAAGGAAACTCTGTGTCAGTGATGGGACGGGCTTCAGGACGCTTAAGAAAAGGTCAGGCAACTATTGAAACTCCCCAGCCCTATACCCAAAGAAACCCTCACCTTTGGCTACCAGGGAATGCTGCAACAGCAGGTCTCACCTGTGGAGCTTGCTGCAAAAAGCTGTGCTGTGCTGACCCTCATCTGGTCTCAAAGGAAGAAAAAATAAACAACAACAAAAAAAAACCCTAACCAAAACCACAAACCACTTCTCCCATTGTAGATGAGCCCCTATTTCTGTGGGCACTGGCAAGTCCACTGGGATACCTTTCCAACCAGCACTTACTTAACAAATTTACTCACAGCACTCTGGCTTTCCACGAGTGATGACACCTTTCAACACCAAGCACCCTGCTGCCCTGGGCTGCCGCAGGACAGCTCAGCCAAGGTCAGAGAACAGATGTAAAAGGTCCAGTGTCTAAAGGCTGCCCAAGAAAGAGGATGGGGTCTCCCTAAGCCAGACCTAAATGAATTTAGGACATGGCCTGAACTCCTACAGCTAGAAAACTTTACTGAGGACACAGGCAAAGGCACAGGCTGGAGGGAGCAACCACAAATCTCTGAGTAGAGAGCACTTGCCCCACGCCCCAGCCTGTGTTCTTACTGCCACAGCATCCACCCAAGCAGCCAGCCCAGCACCCTGCACACCACTGTGCCTCACCTGAGAGAAGTTCAGCCCATTGAGCACGTGGCACTGCTCCTCCACTTTCTCCACAGCACCCGTCTGCTTCCTCAGCCGCTCCGCTTCCTGGGCCAGGTATAGATCCAAAACAGGCACGCCTCGTGACTTGATGTCCACCTCTGTCAGCGAGTTCACCATCAGCATCATCCCATACTGGCCTCTTCCACTCCCAGTTGCCAGCTATAGCATTGAAGAGGTAGTCTGCATACAGCCCTCTGCCCCGCTGGTCTGGGGTCATCCAGGATGGCATCATGAGCCTGACATACTCCAGATGCCGCTTGAGCCGGCAGTAGATGCCACGGGGCAACATATCCTGGAGGTTCTCCCCTGTGGCAGGAGCTGGCAGTTAGTGAGTGCTGAGATGCTTTAGGGATCAGTGAGGTCTAGCTCTAAGTACACAGCATTGCTCTGCTGAAAGGCCTTCCTGGAGTTCTCTGGGATGGAATCCCAGACACGTGTGTATGGGACATGGCTGGTGCCAAAGGAGTAAGACGGGGGGGTCTCTCTTGATGGTCCACAGGAAGGAGTTCATATCACTTTGCTGGAGGAGATGGAGACACAGCTGATTAAGTACATATATTTACACTGGGCCACGGCAGTACAGGGCTTAAGGAAAACATGGTGCCAAGCCAGCAGGTCATCTGGCTCAGCAGCTTGCCAGATGGCCTTTTCCTAAAGTGGCTTCACTTACACAGAGCCCCCTTTGACCATCCTTTTTCTCAGGTCTTGAGGTCAAAATTCAATTTCGATTCATTAAAACCAGAAGCCTTGGCTTTCTCCTCCTGAAAGACAACACTGAGTCTTCTCAACAATAACATCACCTCTGCATATCACCCAGGTATCTTCCAAAACCATCAGTAGAGCACAGCACAAGCAGACCATGATCTAGGCAAGACACTTATCCAGCTTCTGCCTTTTATCAAGTCAAAAGCTAATATCACTTTGCTGAAGCAGAGAAGGACAGCAGGGTTTTAATCGCCTTCACCTTTACACTTCTCACTTCAGCACAGCAAGGTACCCTTCACCAAAGAAACTGCTGTGACACTTTGAGGGTGCCACAGCATCTCAGGAGAATTTACTGCTCAGAGAGAAACACCAAACAAGCAAGCGACACAAATCACAGACAGCAGGCAGACTTGCCAAAGAAAGCAGAAATACTTTTTTAGAGGGATGTAGCACATGGCAAACAGACATGCAGTCATGATCCCTCACAGCCCCACTATCTTAAGCAGAAGAGAATCCCGTGCAATATCTTGGAAAATAAGGGAAGAAATTCTGCAGTCCAGACCTGGCAAATGGTTTCAGGGCATACTCTAAAACACAGAGGAGGAAAAAACTTCTTTGTTTCGATTAGCTTTTAAAATCTCTCAAAAAACACAGCCATCAGTAAGTCAAAATCAGACTTCAAGTTTGTTCCACTTCAAAACATCTCTTGTAACATCCCCAGGAACAAGGAGTACAGGTCTGTGCTCAAGCCCTGTGCAACTGTGCAAGGACAGGAGAGCAGACCGGGCAAAACGGAACCTGCCCGGATCCTGCCAAGTCACTTTACACCAGCAAGAGGCATGACCTCCATCACCTACAGCATGTGTACCCCACTAGTGCTGTGGTCCTTACTGGAGTGGTGGATGCAGTTTCTGCCTGTCTGAGCAGACACAAAGAGGTAGCTTTTGCAGGTCTAAGAGGACAGGCTTCCAGATGCATTCAAACTTCTAGTTAACCTCTAGCCAGCAGATAATTCCAACCTCAGTTCTGAGGCAAAGTGTGCATGTGTGCTGATCTAAGAAGTCTGCCTGAGCATCAAATGCAGAACAGGCTGCTTCGAGGAATTTATGGGAAGCACATTGTCTATAAATTTCTGATACTAAAGGCCCAGGGTCAGAAAGGGTAATCTTAAAGACTGCTCTGCAATGGCTCATCCCAGACAACCTTCTCCAGCAGTTCTCTACATCAAACTCAGTCCATAGATCAGGGAGCACTCCAGCAAAGTGCTACCACCACTCCAGCTTACAAGCACAGACTGACAAACCAAGTATACTCCAAAGAACTCTTCAGACACTTCTGCTTGCATGTCAAGAGTCTGAAGCATACCTCAGACTGTGGTAACACCATGCTACAACCCAGACTCTATAGCACAGTCCTGAAATGAACTCCTGAATTATAAACCATAATAAAAACTCTCCTGAAGACCATGGGAAGAGGGTAAAACAAACACGATTCAGCACTGACTGATAAAGATGACTCAGGGCAACAAGGGAGTACAAATCTGACACAGACCCAGGAAAACACAGGAAAATTAATATGCAAATTAGAACAAGAGGGCAAACAAGAGAGGGTTCCCCCCTGTCATTAGTCAGGAGGGAAACATGGAAGGACACACCACCATGGTGAGAAATTAACTGGAATTCAGCCAGCAAGAAGGAAGGACCAGAAGTGCTGCTCTCTGTGCACCAGCAAGCAAAACGACAGAAGAGGTACCTGGGACAGACACAAGGTTGGGAGGACAACATTCCTTCTGAAAATGCCTTCAGAAACTGTACCCAAGTCTGATCACACACATGGCACTGCACAAGAACAGCCACAACCACACAGTATCGTAGCAAACATGACCACCAGCTAGCATAAAACAATTCTGCTCTTGAATAAGCCTGGCCAGAAGGCCCAGGCCCAGATAGATGGTACCAGGGTTTAATGTAGATCATCAGCATGGCTCCCAGCTACTCCACACAGCCCAGCTAGAAAGGTGTTTGAAACTGCAGTCTCACTTTTTTTTTTCTGGGCAAACCCCTTCAGCTTTCACAACTGTATACTGTAAGCATAGTAATACTGCCAGTTATTAGTGGTACCTCTAAGGAAATCACAGAGGCCTTCAGGCACAGAGTAAAAGTCTGCCTTTAAAGAACCACCAGCACAGGTGGAAGAAAGCAGGCCGAGACCTAGCGAAACCTCTCACGCAGTCCTAAAGACAGACCTCACAAAGCAGAATGACTGGTCACTCTTGCAGGCACTTCCACACCAACTGGAGCAGTCATGAACTTGGCAACCCACCCCAAGTATCATTAGACCTCCCTTCTCAGAACTGTCTGGAGTCAGCATGAGGGGCCAGAGAACTGGCATCAGTTTTCCAGCATTCATAGGAAACCTCCTCAGACCCTGCAGAGTCAGTTTCTAGGCACTAGCAGTTTGGTATTACCACCAGATGGTACTATAATGGGAGCTCAGAAAGCTCACTTTCCCTCCAAAAAGTGGCATTATTGCTGCTCAGGACATGCTAGTGCCTCACACTCCTTTGGTATCTCCTTTTCCTTCAGGAGCTGGAGACTGTAATCCCAGATCTGCTCTGCCTTCTTGCCACACTCCTGCAAAAAGCCTGCTCTGCCCCATCTCTTCTGATGCAAAGCAGCAGCAATGTCCTTGGTGTATCTGAGCAGGTATTTTACTTCAGCAGAGTAATAAAAAGTCAGGTTCATGTACAGATCAAGATGCACATTTCTATCTCTACTCTCCAAATTACAGGTGGTACTCAATGCATTACTTGTGATGGGAGAAACAAGGAGCAAGAGGAAAAAATGGAGGGGAGAACACAGGTCTCCCAATTTGCTGCCACACTGAGATCTGAGGCAGTAGCACCAGTAGATGTACCACCACTTCTCTCTACCCCAACTTTAACTTTCCACTACGTAGTCTCAGATCAAGATATCTGTGAATGACCAGTGCTATAGCGTGGTGCCTTCCCCCCTGCCTCACCTCCCCAGGTAAACAACAGCTGGATGTGAAGTGATGTAGGCTATCAGCCCAGCCAAAAAAACTGTCTGAACAAAAAAGGAGAAAGGCTTTTTTCCTATCCAGCAAGGGAATGAGGGAGAAGGAAAAGGAGGTGCTTAAGCTGACACTATTACAGAGCCAATGCACTGGTACATACGGGATCCACCATGAGACTGTGAACGCCTACCTTCCCAACCAGGGCTACACAGGGGACAAACTCTACTGCCCACCGTGAGATGCAATGGGGGCACAAAGCCAGACAACGCTGCCCCAAAATGAGAGGACAACAGTATCAGGCATTGCAGAAATCCTGGAAAAGCATGGTGCACATCAAGGATTTTTCCTCAGAAGATGAGGGAGGGCCTAGACCAGAACAAAAAAAGAAGACATGAAGAAAGGGAGAATAAAGTGATATATTGCAGATGAATAGCTGAAATCAGAGCATGCTAGTCCCATATAGCAACATCCGCCTTCTAATCACATAGCTGGTTGCCTGCAGGTAGCACTAGAAACTCCCAACCTGCCTTCTTTCTGCTTCATCAGAACACAGGCTTTGACAGAGGTATTTTCATTATCTTTCCAGTAGAATTCTTAAGATTTTAAAAAACCAAGGTGTCAGATTCTGTTCATTTTTACAGGAGCTTGCTTTTCCACCAGTATTTATGGATCCACTATAGGATGCAGCCTGTAGACTGTCAGATGCCATGTATCATTTCAAGTGACATAGCAATGACTCTGCGGGAAGAGTGGTGCCAAAGAGGATCAGAGAAAGCATCATCTTTCTTCTGAGAAACTAGCTCAGATTGGGCCAAATGATGTACTGACTGTCAAGAGTTGGCAGTAAATATCCAAAAACACAGAAGAAACAAAGAATGGATCTAGTGGCAGCAATCTGAACATCTAGAGAAAAAATAACAAGGGAGTTTACAAAACAAACAAACAAACTAAACAGGGAAGGCTGTGGTGACATATAGAAAAGACGATTAGAGGGGATGGAGAACTGCTGTTGAAACACTGAGGAACTGGATGTGAACTCCAGACATGGGAAACCTACTCCCGGTCTGCTTCCCTCTACATCACTTCAGCTCCCGTCCACCTTCTGTCTGTCTCATCTATGTAGACTAAACATTCTTCATTACAAAGTGTGTAACTTTGTGCAGGTAGGTGCCCTCTGAGCCTTCAGTGTCTTTCAGAACCCCTAATCCTCATACCTGTCACTTGGCCCCAGAGCCCCATCTTCCAAGCCTCAGCCCAGCATTGGACTGTTTCTCAATCCACAATATACTTACACTTTTGTTGTGGTGAGCAGAGCCCAC